CATGGGCATCAAGCTCTGCTTCGCCTCCCCCGCCCACCCCAGAAGCAATGGCCAAGTGGAGCGCGCCAACACGGAAATCCTCAAGGGCCTCAAAACCAAGACCTTCAACATCCTCAAGAAGCACGGCGACTCGTGGATCGAGGAGTTGCCAGCGGTGCTCTGGGCGAACCGAACCACGCCAAGCCGAGCAACCAGGGAAACGCCTTTCTTCCTCGTCTACGGCGCGGAGGCGGTTCTCCCATCCGAGCTCACCCTGAGGTCCCCTCGGGCCACCATGTACTGCGAGGCTGATCAAGATCAGCTTCGTAGAGATGACCTCGACTACTTGGAAGAGCGAAGGCGGCGCGCGGCCCTCCGAGCCGCGCGCTACCAGCAGAGCCTGCGGCGCTACCATCAGCGCCACGTCCGGGCCCGATCACTCTGCGTCGACGACCTCGTCCTACGCCGCGTCCAAACGCGTGCTGGACTGAGCAAGCTCTCACCAATGTGGGAGGGTCCGTATCGAGTGATCGGCGTCCCCCGGCCGGGCTCCGTTCGGCTGGCCACGGGCGACGGCACAGAGCTGCCTAACCCGTGGAACATCAAACACCTTCGTCGTTTCTACCCCTAGTAGGGGTCGGGTGTCAGGTCTCGGGCTCGGGCCAACCCCGCACCCCCCCTGGGCGTGCAGGGTTGGCCGGGGGCTACCACATGCATATACTTATCTTTTTTCTCTTCCGTATTTCAATAAAAGCATTTTCGATTTCCTAAGGACTGTGTCTGTGCCATTGTTTCCTTTCAAAGAGTCTTGGCTTGAATTAGCATGCTCGTGCTCGACCCTGCCCTCGGTGGCCCGGGCCGGCGGAAATCGCCAAACGGGGCCCAGAACCGAGCCGTGCCCCGGGGCGTGGTGAACTCCGGAGGGGAATCGGCAAAGGCCCACAATCGGGTCATCCATAACCCTCGGTCACCACGTTCCCGGCCTGGCCAGTCTCGACACGTGGATCTCCCCAGGCACTAGCCCCGACCCGCGCCATTTGAGGCTAGGACCTGGGCACGAGCCCTCGTTCAAACCAAGACACAGAAGGACCACGGCACAGGCCATCCTCGTCTCATACACACGACAAACAGAGCTGACACAAAAATTTCCTCTTTATTTGATTGCAGATTAAATTAGTTTGTACAAGAAGGGGGCCCGAAGGCCTCAGAAGAAGAAAGGAAAAACTATTTAAGATTGGCGGGGGCCTGGGGGCTCACTTCGAGGCTCCCGGGTCGCCGGCCTCGTCGTCGCTGTCGTCCACACCACCGTCGCCGCCCTCCACGTCGGAGTCGAGGGCGAACGCGAGCCGAGGGGCCGTACCCTCGAAGCTGTGGACGATGTGGTCGGCGGCGTCCCGGACCTGCGCGCGCGCGTCGTCCTCGGTTCCAGGAGGGAACTCGTCCAGCGCCGCCCACGGGGAGAAGTCCGGGTCCCTGGCCTGGTAGCTTGCCAGTACAAGCTCTACTGCCCCCCGGGCGAGGTCTCTCGAGGATGACTTGATCGTCTCCTCGAGCTCCTCGGGGAGCCGCTGGAGAGTCCCGGCCATCTCTGAGAGGCGCTGGGCGAGGCCCCCCTGGTTGGCGGCATATTTCGCGATCCGCCCGCCCCAGAGGCCCGCCTGCCGCCCGACGCGGTCTAGACGGGAGACGGCGTCCCGAAGCATGCCGGGCCCTACCTCGCCTGCCAAGCGGAGGGCCTCGACCTCCCCGGCGGACGAGTCCAGCGCGCCCTGCAGCTCGGCGATAGTGTGTTCGGCAGCTGCGAGGCGGGCGGCTAGATCGCCGTCGCCCGTGGCCGCCCCGCCGCTACGCGCCCTCGCATCCAGCTCCCTTGCCCGTGCCTCGAGCTCAGCGGCCCGCTGATCCAGTGCGGCCCTCTCGGCGCGGGCACCTTCCAGATTGCGACGCGTTTGTTTCTCCTGCGCTGCCTCACGAAGGGACAGGCTGTCCGCCAGCCTTTGCGCCGCGGCCTCGGCCTCCTCGAGAGCTCGCTCCCGCTCGGTGAGCGCATCCTCGCGGAGGCGGAGTGCGGACTCCTCTTCAGCACAGGCGGCTTCGTGCGCCGCCAGTGTAGCCTCCCGGATGGCAACGGCGGCCTCGCGGTCTGCCAGGTCCCTCTCCTTCACGCAGGCGCGCTCTTCCAGCGCCGTGGCACGGGCCTCAAGGGCTTCTTCGCGACGTCGGGACGCCGCCTCGGTCTCCGCCGCCCGCCGTTCCCGGGCAGCAGCGGCATCAAGGACCCCCCGGGCGGCGTCGAGCTTTTTTCCTAGCTCCGCCGCCCAGCTCCCGTATTGAAGGCGGAGGTCGTCCTGCGCCTCGTTCATCACTGCGGTGGCGATGAGGGCAGCCTCCCGCTCCTCCTCCACCTCCCTGGCGATCTCCGCCAGCTCCTTCCGACGGACCTCGAGCTCCGAGGTGTGCCGGCGGTGTGCCTTGCGGCCCGCCTCCACCATGGCCTCCACCGAGCGTCGCCCCTCTTCGACACGCGCCCATGCAGCGTCGAGCTCCGCCCGCTCTGCCTGCAGGACCTCCATCTGGGCACTTAACCCGTCCAACACCGTGGTGTTCGCGGCGGCCAAGGCCTGCAGAAGGGGCTCTACGCTCAGTGGGGCAGCGGAAGGCATGGGGGAGAGCCGCCTCGGTGGGGATGCCGCACGGCTCGGCCCGCCGATCGACGTACCGGACTCAGGGACGTCCCCCGGACCTGGCTTGTCCTGAGCGTCGCCCGAGGGGTCGGGCCCGAGCGGTGCGCCCGCGGCCTCGTCGTGGGTGGCCTCGGAAGTCGTCGTCGCCTCGGGCGGAGTCGGGTCGGGGGCTTGGCAGGCCGCCTGGCGTGCGTGCGCCGCCTCCGCCTCCCGGGCGGACTCCTCGGCCCGGCGGAGTCTGGCCTCCTCCCGAGCGGCTTCCTCAGCCCGGCGAGCCCGGACGGCCTCCTGGGCAGCCTCCTCGGCTTCCCGAAGGCGATCCGCGGCTTCTCGCCGGTCAGTTTCCCGCCTCCGGGCCTCCGCGGTCGCCGTATCCTCGGCCTCAGACCGGCCGGACTTGGAATGGCGGGAGGGGCGCGACGGGATCTCGCTGAAGCAGAAGAAAAACCAGAAGACAAACAAAACGAGTGAGTGCGGCGAGGGTAGGGCACAGGAAACAAGGAGTTAGGGCGCAAGCGGCGAAGGCAAGGGGAATAATGACGAGAGGAAGGAAGCGAATCTCTTCCTCGGCGTCTTTATACCCTTGCCAACGCTATGCCCGGCTCCTCGCTTCCCGCGCCCACTATCTCGCCCCCTCGTTGCTCGCGCCCACGTCTCCACTAATTCCGCTCGCCCGTTTGCGGCGCACGAGGCGGATGTGCGGCTGTGGCAGTTGAGATGGGACATATCGTGCGCGCGTTAACTATGCTCGCCAACCTAAGCGCCATCATCATATCTCCAGGCAAAACGAACCGGCTCGTCCCGATTCGCGTGCTACTCGAGTAATGTAGCGGTCTTAAAGAGACCGCTCATTATAGACAGTCGGTTTTCCGTTGCCGATGTGCGCGATTTGCGACCGCTGGGTTTCTGCCCGCCTGTAGAGACCGGCCCCACCTGTCACCAGGCCTAAGGAGTGGCGTCACGCCCGAGCGCTTCCTTCGGGGGGGGCGATCGCCCTGGCATAACGCCGGGGGCTACTGTCGGTGACATGGGACCGGGAGTATCATGACTAGAGGCTTGGGCAGCCGCGATCACCCACGTGGCCCGACCCCCTCAGGGGGGTCGGGCCCAAGGGTGATGTGGCCGCCCCTCCCTTTGTCTCCCCGAGGGGTCGGACTGCTCCCGTTTCGACCCCGAGGGCCGGGGCGCCCCGACCCCCTGTGGGTTTGGCGCCACGTATATGGGTTAGGTGAGCATAGCGGGGCTCACCTAACCGCATTTATTGCGGGTTGAACGAGCGCGTCACGCCGCATGTAATGCAGCGCAGCGCGCTCGTTTATCCGGTCCGTGACCGGGTGCAGCGTGTGACCGGTCACAGACCGGTCAGATCGCGGGTTAGGTGGTGGCAGGTGGCCTGTTACACGCCTCGCCCCGTCCCGTCGGATTGATGAGAGCCTCCAGGCACTTGTCCCTAGCCGGAGACGGCGTGCCAGCTCCTGAAGATGGCACGTCGGTCCCGGTCAGATATATGCCAGGCTTCATCCCAACCATTGCAAGGAAGTCATTGTATGAAGAAGGGCAGACATGCAGCTTGCTAAACTGACGCGTGGTGGACGAGAGTGACCGGTCTGTGACTGGTCTGACGCCTGTCATGTCATCGGCAAACAACCGTGCTTCCACGTTGCACCTGCTTCCGACGGAGTGGAGGTTGGTATGACCCATCCCATCGGAGGGTCATTCAAACAGCAGCCATTGCAAATCTCCGCCCATTAATGAGGGAGGACAGGGCTATCCCAGTGTCAGGTAAAAGTGCGAGCCAAATCTTGCTCAAAGTAGGATGGGTCCCCACCCAAAAGAAGGGTAGGTAGAAATGGTATATGTGGTATCCCCTTGAGATATAAAAGGAGGACCATGCCTACCAAGAAAAGGGAAGAAAAAAAAAAGAAGGAAGAAGGAGAGAGGGGAGCTCATAGAAAGGACGGGGAAAAAGAGTAGGGAGAGGGTCTCTAGAGTTGAAAGGCTCTTGCTCTTCAGCTCTTTGTAACTCCTTCAGAGACAGATCCGCCAGAACACAGGAGTAGGGTATTACGCTTCTCAGCGGCCCGAACCTGTCTACATCGCCTGTGTCTTGCGCGTTTGCTCTCTCGCGAACCATTCCACAGATCAAGGGCTTAGAACCTCACTTAGCGCCCCCGGCTGAACCGGCAAAGGGGAGCCCGCGCGGTCTCCCGGTGAGGAGCCCCACGCTCCGTCATAAGTCATTCTACCATTTCCTACATTTATAGTGATGTTAATGGATTTAGATATATATAAATACGACAAATGGTCATGTTAAAAAGGGATAAACAGAAGCGTACATTTAAAATGGATGTGGTAGTTTCTTAGTTGGTAGTGTTTTTATAGGAATGTATATAATTTCAAAGTTATACAAAACAAAAAAAGATGAGGAAAAAATATGTTTCACAATGTGCATAGCTTCCTCATCTCTCTACTTCTATAAAGAGGAAGTTGTCCTCCTCCACCTCCGCGTAAAAACCTTTCTTAAAAGAAAAGGTCCATCCTAAAAAATACTTTCTAAAAAAACAACCATTGAAAAAAAAAAGGAACAACCCACTGGACTAATATCCTCCCACTAAACTGAATAAAAAATCGTTCTGAAGCACAAGCTAACATGCATGTGTTCAGATCACGTGAGCACAGCTCGTGCGTAGGGAGGGATGCAAGTGGGTAGTCTCGTTACCCGCTTGCTAGTTTATTTCTGGTATGGTAGTACAAAATTTAGAAGAAAAAATAAGCTAGAAGTTGGATAAGCGGAATAAAAAAGCCCGCTTGTCCGCCCCCGCTTGCATCCCTACTCGTGCGCTGCATCAAGCCAAGCCCCTACGAGTAGAGATCACTCAAGAAGAACGGCTGAACGAGGCCATCGCCGGAGGGCTGTGAGCATGTGACCGGCATGCTTTGAATCCGTGCCTTCTTTCTCTGCACTGCTTGATGCCATTGCAACTTTGCAAGGCAACCAAGTGCTCCAGCCCCCCTGGTCTCATTCCCAGACTTTGGTAGCTGAGGCTACTGGAACTATGTTCGGTGCTGCAACCGTTGTTGGCATTCCGTGTGCCTCCCGTTCCAGTGATATCGGTCACCTTGAAATTCAGTATATGTGTGTGTTCCCTTCTGCTTCCTATATATTTTTTATCCCAATCCATGGAGTTGAAAGAAAATAGTGTAAAGAATAGATCAGTATGTATTTAATACAAATGAAGGTAAGGCAGATCGTGTTAAGGCTAAATGTAAGGTTATATCTATATGTGAGCATCCCTACAAAAACTAACCCAATGGAAGAGATGTCCCAAAGGCATTTGCGCTAAAGGTCAAGAAAAGGCGCCCCAAGGTCGGCTCTTACCTATATGAGGACCCGAAGACCGGTTCTTAACTCGCGCTTTTGGGGAACACACAGCAAGGGACCTTTTTTTTTTTTGTGAGAGCCAGGGTTGAGCCCTGGCCTGTAGCCTCACAAATGAGGACTTCACCGCCATGCTATGAGCACGTTCTCAGCATATCTGAAATAAGAAACAACATAAGATACAAATCCAGAACAATCCTTAAGGATACATGTAGGGTGCTATTTATATTCTGCAAAGAAACCTAGCCAGTAACTTTTTATCTTTTGTTGAACAATTTACAGAGTCATCAAATAGTAACTGCCATATATACTGTCAAGATAATCAGAACCATCCTAAAAAGATAATAAAGCAAATTATCCCATATTAAATCATATCTCAGTACCTCACAAACAAGTACCCCATCACATGTTAAATGGAAAATTAGACACAACTTTGTATTACAACTCATGAATAACACCTTTTTTTTATTAAAAAGAAGTGCATAGCTAAGAAAAGCACCCTGATGGAAAGATAATGACAACGACAGAATTCCAAAATAATTTGTCCTGACAGCTAAAATGGTGCTTGCAATAACATACTAAAAACTGATTTGGCATCAGTATTTGGTAATTTGGGACAGGATTTTCTAAATATAGCAGGAAAATACAAAAGTTTATTTTCTCAGAATAATGATCAACGAATCTACATGTAATATGCCAGTTGTTGAAAGAGAAGCAAAAAAAAGAGAGAGAGAGAAAGAAATGCAATGTGCAAATAGCAAAGATGCATGTTTGGTGTTTCCGCTACAAAAGTCATGGACCAAGCGAAAACATTGCTCTAAATTCCTATAAAGATTAAAGAAGAGGGGGAGAGAGAGAATAAGATGGCAAGACAAGGTAATACTAATTGGGCTCAATTATCTTCCCTTAAAGTAATAATATAGTACTATGTTTCATTCAGCAAAAGTATCATAAACACTAAATATATATATTCCATATGGTAATTCAATTGGCTAATGGAACACTATTAGGACAATTTCAACAAACATGTTATGGATGAAAAGATGACACCAACCTGAGGTGGTCAGTGAATTATCAATTATGCAGTGTCATCTTTATATTTGCCTGCTTGTCTCCCCCTCGTCCTAGGGATCCTTCTTAAGCTTCTTGCTTGGGATCACACGAGGGATGCTTTTTCTCCTCCTTATCACCAACTTTTAGCAATCACACCCAGCTAGAGAGAAGCATGCTGTGGAACGGCAGTAGCCAGTAGGCAAGTGACCATGCCAGCTTGAACAGGTTAGTGGATGGAGGAGAGTACAGGACCATAATTCCAACTCTGAGTAGATTCAGTGGTGCCATCTTAAAATGTTTTCTCTCTTTTCGTTCCATTGAAGGGTTCTATTTATTAGATCACCAGACACGGACCATTATGAACCTTAAGTACCTGACGTGCTTGAATACCAATAAAAAGCCACTTTCCTGAATGGTACCCTTCTCCATTAACCAGAGGATGGTCCTCACCAAATCAATGTATCTGGAACGGATGTCACATTTTATTGTGCCAAACCATATCCTCAAACCATATTGGCTGCAAGTGTGTAATTCTAGTAATGCACGTTGAACTTGAGACTGCAAGATGAATTAATTCTTCAACCTTAAGGCTTCACTTGAGAATGATATCTGTTCAATAAACTCATGAGACATGACCCCTCTTTTTTCCCCCAGAGACGTGACTACTCTTAGGATTGGAAAATTATGTGAATCAAGTGCTCTAAACATCAAGAATAATTAGCCACTCAGCTCAATACAACTCCATCCAGGTTCCTTCATTAATCCTTGCTTGCTTAGTTGCCTCCTATAACTTGTGGCCTTCTTCCATTTCCCTAAACAACTGAGCATATTAGACATCAGAACACAGTGATCAGAATCTTGAGTCTCCAAATTCAGAAGTTCCTCTGGTATGAAATCTATGGATGAATCAGCACAACGAGCACTGTATGAACTAATTATAGGAGCTAAAACCTTATTTTGCACCTCACTTGGCATCTGCTTGAAGAACTTTAGGGCGCTCCCAAAATGACCAGCTTTACAAAGCAAATCAACCATGCACATATGATGTTCAATAGATGGCTCGATACCATATTCCATTGTCATGCTGTGAAAGCACTCAAGACCTTCATCTACTAAACCAGAATAGTTGCATGCGGTAAGAACATGAGTAAACGCAATCCCATCTGGTTGAAAACCTTTGTTTTTCATCTCCTTGAAAAGGACAAGAGCCTCACTTCCTTCTCCATTGCAAGCATACCCATTAATCATGGCACTCCAAACAGCTATATCTCTATTGGTAACACCCTCAAATATTTTCCTAGCCAGATTGATGCTACCAAACTTGCTATACATGTCGATTAATCCAGTAGCTACTCGCGGCTCTGAATGCAGTCCAGTGGCAATTGCCTGCTCCTCAACCTTTTTCCCCAGATTAGCAGACCCCAATTTGGCACAAGCTGAAAGAACTGATGACAGAGTTGCTTCATTCGGCTCAATGTTTGCGCACACCATGCTATCGAACATCACCAACGCTTCATTCAGATGACCACCTTCAACATACCCACTTATCATTGAAGTCCACACAACCACATTCGCCATGTGAACTGCATCAAAGACTTCTCGAGCGGATTCAAGATCTCCACACTTTGCATACAAGTTTATCAATGATGCCGCAAGGTCTTCCTCACATTCAAAGCCAAGCTTAATAATGAGAGCATGCACACCCTTGGCCACCGACAAGTTCCCAAACAGAACAGCAGCTGATATGAGATTCACGAGCACTACCGAGTCAACATTTTTCCCAACTCCCCGCATGCGGTTGAACAGATCAAACACCTCCAGATAATCCCCTCTAAGTAAATAACCAGATGCCAATGCAGTCCAAGTAACTACAGACTTGTTGCATATTCCATCAAACAACAACCGCGCAGCATCCAGATGGCTACCACGGACAAGCATGGTGAGAACCGAGTTCAACACAGGCAAACCGGCATCAAGCCCAGATTTCACGCTAAACCCGTAGACGCACATGCCAGGATTGCTTGCGGAAACGGAGTCCACACACCCGGAGAGCACGCCGACGAGTGTGCCCTCGCTGGGTCTGACCCCCGCACGCCGCATCGCGTTGAACACCGCAACAGACTCCTCCACCTGGGAGCTCCTGCCGTACGCAGCGACCATGCAGTTCCAGGAGACCAGGGTCGGGCGCGGCATTTCGTCGAACAGGCGGCGCGCGTCGGGGAGGCGCCCGCACTTGGCGTACATGTCGAGCAGGGAGGTCCGGACGAACACGGCGGAGGCGGCGCCGGCGAGGAGGGCGTGGGCGTGGACGGCGGCGCCGAGGCGGGGGAGGCGGAGCGCGGCGCATGACTTGGCGAGGGACGGGAAGGTGGATGCGCCGCCGCCGCCGAGGCCCGCGGCGAGGAGGGAGGCGTAGTGGCGGAGGCAGCGGGAGTAGGAGCCCGACGCGGCGGCGTGCTGGATCAGGCGGTTCCACTCGCGCAGGGCGGTGGTGGTGGCCGTCGTCGTCGGCGGCGTGGGTTGGCTCATGCGTTTCGAGGTTTTCGGGGGCCTTTCGGTTGTTACTATGTAAATTTCGACAAAATTGCATACCTACGATCGCAAAGTTTGGACACACTAGAATGCCAGCACTTAAACGGGCTTCGCTAGAATACCACGTTGAAATGCCATTATGTACCAATCTACCCTTGGGCTTCATCTTCCTCACTCCAACTCCTCATCTTCCTCGTCACCGGTGGCTACGGTGGCAGCAAGGAGAGCCGGCGGCCAGCGGTGGTCGTTTGCATACGGTCGATGGGAGTAGTGGGGGCAGAGGCATCCTTGGGGCAAGGAGGTGCAGCTAGCGGTCGACGGCAGCCGCGCGGAGGGCTAGGGGTAGAGTAGGGCGGAGCGCGGTAGGGTTGGCGAGGACAGTGGCGGCAGACGTGCTCTCGTCGGCCGCACACGATGACCACCGCCGGGAGCCGTCCCGGGGCGACGACCTCCGCCCACGCGCTCCCGCCGCCGCACCTGCACTCCTGCCACCGCCCACATGTTCCCGCCACCGCGTGCAACGACCGCTGCCGCCCACACGCTCCCACCACCAGTCACCGAGCTCGCTCCCTCGGTTCCCCTCGCCGTAGCCGGCCACCAAACTCGCTCCCTTGGTTCTCCTTTGGTGATTAATATGCAGATTCTATGTTTTTCGTTAACATATTTTTTAAACTACTATGCAGCATAGTAGAAAAAATCAGACCGGACACCGAACCGCTTGAACTCATGGTCCACCCGGGTCATCGATTGGACCCACTGGGTCGATCGGTATTTATACAAACCAAGCTATATGATGAGTGAAAGCCATGACACCTCAGACCGCTTGGCACTAAGATGTTATAGCTCAGCGCCATCAAAGATGTTATAGCTCAGCGCCATCAAGGTTGGCGCTGAGAAAACGACCTTTTTTAAAATTAGTTTTTGGCACGGTTCAATCTCAGAATAAGTTTTTTAAAAGTGTCAAGTTGTCAAAAATATGGCTAATTTATTTTAGTTCCGTCACTAGTTTTCCTGTTGCAATGTTCGGCGTAGGTCATCTTTTTATACTAGATGATGCCCCGCATTTTGCTGCAGTATATATGTTAGATAATAGAGAAATGATAAAATTATTTGGACTGAAATATTATGAAAATTATTTAAGAGTAATAATTTAGCATGTGTATGTTTAGTTTTAGAATGAAATAAATTGTAGATATTATTACTATATGCTTGCATAATAAGCTTTGTGTGCTCAATGGGTTGATGTGGCATACTTGCATGTAGGTTTTAAAAGTGCTAATAAATATTATGCTTGCATGTTGAGCTTTATTAGGTGTTTAGTTGACATTATGTTTATAGAAAAAAGAGATTAAAAAAATAACAAAACAAGCCTCACTAAACAATCAATCTACTCCCTCGGTCCCAAAATATAAGGGATTTTGGTGGATGTGACTCTTACTGAGACAATGAATTTGGACAGACTAGGAAATGTCACATCCACGGTGTGTTTGGTTCACGGTCATGCATGGATGGGATATGGCCATCCATATTTTGTTGGATATGGCGATCCAATTTCTTGTTTTGGTTGAAGGGATATAGCATGGATGGGAAATGCCAAAAGTTAGTGGGACCCATTTGTCATATATATTTTTTTATCAAAATATAATCATTCGAGATCTTGTTTTAAAGATTCAATTGTAACAAATATAATGTAATGGTGTAATCAAATTATAAATTAGATAAATGGTTTAGGTGAAAAAAATCATTTGGAGCTTGCTTAACATAAAATCAAACCAATCGCAGCCAATCAGAATAGGCAAAATTTGCTACAAAACACTCAAAGATTGTGGTCTTTGCTGTGAGACATCCGAAGATTGTGTATTTGCTCGTGGACACTATAAAAAAATGGTAATTAGCTGCTGGACACTCCTCCTATTATTTTATTATTAGAAACTTTGGTTAAAGACAAGTTTGCCCATGGGCCTACTTGTCAATCTCTCTTTCTCTGTTCTTCTTCCTCTCTTTCTCTGTTCTTCTTCTTTAATAGCAACGCGACACTTTTCATCGCCCTCGGTGCGCCCAACAGCAGCAACACGGCGGCCGGCTTCTCGTTCACACCGATGCGCCGCATCCCCTCGGTGCCGACGTTCTACGTCGTGACGCTCACCAGCATCAGCTGCTGCAGCACGCATCGCCGGTCTCCGACACGTCGAGTTGTTTCATGGCGACGGCGCGCCCGCCGCTGAGGTCGGCACGGTACACGGTCCCGAAGCTCCCCCTGCCGATGCAGTACGCGTCGTTAAAGTGCTCCGTCGCCGCCAAGATGTCGCCGAAGGAGAACGTCGTGTCCTTGCTCCATAACGAGGCCTGCACCGCCGTTGTCGTCGCCGCCGCCGAGCTCCCGCCGCTCGCCGCCGTCTCCGCGTTCTCTATGACGACGTCGGCGGCTCGCCTCGCCTTGCGTGACACCGTGCAAACCACCACGACCATGGACACCAGCAGCGCGGTGGCGAGGGAGAGCGTGACGGCGAGCACCAGCCTCGTCTTACCGGAGTGGCCGTCGCCGGTGGTGGTGTTCGAGCTGCAATGTTGTTGCCGCACAGGCCAGGGTTGCCACTAAGATCCAGCGTCGTCAGCGACCTCATCTTGCCGAGCAGGGGCGTCACCTTGCGGGAGAGGTTGTTGCTGCTCAGGTTGAGATACCACATCTCGGCCAGCTTCGTCATCTTCCCGCCGCCGCCCCGCCGTGGCCGAGCCGTCTCGGGTTGGGCCAGCCGCCGTCGCGCCTCTGCTCTGCTGCAAGGAAGAAGAAGGGGAAAAAAAGATAGAGAGAGGAAGAACAGTGTTAGGGGCATTTTGGTACTTACACAACTCTTTCTCTCCATCTCGATCAGAAATAATAAAATAATGGGAGGAGTGTCCAGCAGCTAATTACCACTTTTTTACAGTATTCACGAACAAATACACGATCTTCGGGTGTCTCACAGCAAAGACCACAATCTTTGAGTGTCCTGTAGCAAATTTTGCCATCAGAATATGACACATCACCGAGACTAAAACTGGATGGCTTTATCCAGCCAAATCAGTCGGATGCACTCATCTAACATATTGAGGGAATATTCTCTATTATGGGCCGCCCCATCCGCCCTGCCCTCCAACCAAACACCACAAAAAATCGGGCGGCCATCTCCCATCTAGGCTCCGAGGGAGTACTTTTTTTTTTTTTACCTGCTTCCTCCTCTAACCTCTATGGGCCCATTGGCCCAAGGGCCCAATTCCCCGCTCCCCTCCTCCTTTCCTCTCTCTCTCTCCCAGCCCGCACTCCCTTTCTCTCCCCCTCCCCTAACCCCTAGCTGAGCGGCGGCGGCGGCCGGCGGCCGGCGAGCGGTGAGGGCGCGAGGCGGCGCGGCGTGCGGCGCAGGATCGAGGGAGGGCTCGGACTGCCGGCGGGGGGCAGGCGGACAGCGGCGCGACGTCGTCACGGCGAGTCGGCGACGGCGCGGGGCGGGGCAGCGGCCAGCGGCGGCGCCGGCACAGGGACTCTGGGAGGGAGCCGGGCAGGCGGGCAGCCGGCAGCCGACCAGCCGGGGAGAGGAGGGATTGAAGATTCGAATTTCGAAGTATTGAACCATTGACTCATTGAGGTTAGGGAACTAAAGTTCACTGATTTCATGATTTGTTCTACACTTCTACTTAAGTACTTATCTAGTGAAGTATCTACTAGACTACTACTTGCTTAGTTTTTACAACTGTACTTGTGAGTAGTTCATACTTGATACTTCATAGTTCCTACTCCCTCCGTTTCACAATGTAAGTCATTTTAGCATTTTCCACATTCATATTAATGCTAATGAATTTAGATATATATATATATATATATATATATATATATATATATATATATGTCTAGATTCATTAGCATCAATATGAATATAGGAAATGCTAGAATGACTTACATTGTGAAACGGAGGAAGTAGTTACTATCTTGCAAACTTGATTAGCTAGTAAGGCAGTTAGCGAGGACTAGGAGCCTTCAACCTTGGCTACTAGGATTTGTTCATAGGAATTCAGAGATCTTAGTAATTAGTATTTCTATCCTTTATGTATTTCATATGCTGGCACTTTCATATGTTTACCAATTAGTATTTCTGTATGTTAAACAATTTCAAGTGATTGTCAATTCTATCAATGTGTGAACTTATGCTCAATTTTATGTTATACATGCTATATATTATATAATTATTAGTGTGTGATACTATACAAGCTAATATTAGGCTTTTAGGTGTATGAACAAAAAAAAAATTACCCCTTCCCATTTCGAATACGGTTTGAAATCCTGGGCTTGCCCCTGGCTTGTTCGTAGATTTGCAATTTGCAAAAAAATAGAGACGAAAACATCGCACGTGGTATTTCACTGATAACGCTAATGCTATCACTCTACAGATTGGTATTTGCATATTTATAGTCATTTTCACTTTCCATCAGTAAAGTACAAGTAGTACAGCTATTATATTTCGTAATTTTTCTCCCTTTTTTATGTTTTTATGTGTGAATTTGGACACCATTATACCGATAAATGCATTGTTTGTATAAACTGATGAGTACTCCCTGTATTTATCTCTTGTCTTTGCCAGTAGCAGCTGCACAGTTAAAAGGCTTGTTTCTAGGAATGTACCATTGTTTGCTTCTATAGTTTTCAGTATGACCTGTTGTGGTTGAAGCCGTAGTTGTCTGGTGTGCTCATTAACATAAATATTATGTGTTATTTGTTGCATTGAAGGAGCACCATGGATGGAACTCTTTGAATGCTTTTCATTCATTTGGAATATCTAGATATGGTTATGGTGCATCAATTAATTTATTCACATAGGTGGTCAAGGGCATACTTAGAGGGTCTCCTCTAAGGGTTCATATGTTAAATCAATGCCTGTCCAATTCATTGGCCTCCCAGTTTAGTTTCCATACTCCTTGGCTGTATTAGTTTCCTGATCTCGCACTTCACCGTGGTGCTTACTGAAAATAAGCAAACTGTTTGTCTTGCAGTTGTCTGTTCTGATTGACTGAAATTTTTCGTTTTTCAGGGCTGAACCTTTTTCTTAAGTAATAGCAAACTTTATTTGATCTGAAATACATGTACATGCTTTTTAGCCCTAGAGATCCTAGAAAACTTTTTATTGTTAGCATGGATCCCTGATTTTATTTACTGAGAGCATTCTAATTACTAAAACACTGAGAATCACCTCACTACTCTAAATACTTTATGCTTAGATGATATGTTGGTGTTCTTCTCACACAGCCTTGTAGTGTTACAATATACAGTTTCTAAATCCTGGCTCCACCATTTTTTTATTATTATTAACTTCGATTGGGAATGCTTCACTAAATGTTGGGCTGGAAACACTGTTTTTGTGTGTGTGACATTTGCCAGCAGGATTATTCCCTCTCCCTCATCCTAATTACATTTGTGCCGTCCCTGCTGTTGGGTTGTTGGGTCCCCCTTGGACCTCCAACAGCAGTATGAACACAGGTACACAACATGTCAAGCTTAATTTGCAGGCAAAGTGGACATGAGCGAGGGCTTTCTGTCAATGTGTTCACAAATGTGCCTACTCCCTCCGGTTCCCGTTTAGTTGATGTTTGAGGCTTGGACTATTTTGGATGGAAAATCTTGACGTTTTAGCCATGTGATCAATTTAGACTGATTTGCCCCTGCTTGGCTGCATGCATGCAAATCACATTTAACTTGGTGCATCTGAGTCCTTCACAGCACCATAAAAATCATGAGGATAAAATCAATTTGCCGAATCATCTCCTACAGCATAGTAAAAATCGTGTGGAAAAGTAGGGTGCCAAGATTCAAACTTAGCACATGAAGCTTTGGGACTAGCAGTCATAACCACCAGGTTAAGAGGATTTGCTTGTTGGATGTGCTATTCTAATGTGAACTTATTAATCATTCCTTGGTATGTGAGCTCCTGTCCAAAACGTCAATAACTTTGAAACCGGAGCGAGTACTGCCTAGGGGCACAAAGCCAATTATTATAACCACCTCCATCAATTAGGGTTTTTATCCAGGGCAAGACTTCCATCCCTATGTTGGATGCCCTTTGCTGAAAAGCTATTTGTTGTATTACTACTTAGCTCATTACTTTCCTCTTTTGTATCTGTACTAGATAGTAAATGTGATAGCATCTCTTGTTTTCTCTTGAGGGAAAATGATAGCATCTCTTGTAGCTTATAGTTCTTAAAGATAGTCTTTATATTCGTAACTGATTACCTGGATGTTACCTCTATTTGGGTGATACAGTTTTTCCCATCCATTCATATCTACAGGTATTAAAGGCAGCATCTTTACCAAGGTGCTAATCAGTCACATGCATAACCATGACTTCTGAAGACGGAGACATTTCAGCTCTGCTCTCTGAACCAAGTATTCCTGAAGAGCAGCCTGAGGCATCTGAATTCGATGACGTCGTCCCTGCAATTTTGGAATCAATTAAATCAAGTGAGAAGGCATTCAAACCTTCACCGGAGGAGGCTGCTTGGGCTGATTCTTGTTTTGTGCAGACATCTGAGCTTTCGGATAGTGACTGGGGAGCAATGAAGCATGCCCTGCTTAATGCTCTTGAAAAGCCAACAGAAATACCCAACAATACTTCTGAAATTGTGCACGAAGAAGGTTCCCATGCAATTTTAGAGGTCAAACCTCACTCTCTCCCTGCTGAAATTGTTTCTCAGCATGATGACATGCAAATGGAGCAAAAAGAAAATAATGATTATGACACTGGTACTACTGAAGCTTCGGAAGTTGCTAATGTAATTAGGGGCACAAATGAACATGGTAAGCAAATGGATGGATACACAGCCAGACCTGAAGATGGCGATGAGTTGTCTTCGTCTGAAGTTCTTGAGCAGACAGAGTCAAGAGAGACTATCTTTAAGGTGTGGGATCTGGACGTTCCGTTTTCTGATGAGGATGAGCTTGAACTCATCAAGGATCTGAAGAAACTCCTCAAGGACAATCCTCAGGAGTCTGAATTTCGACCTCCCAGTGGAACAGCCAAGACATTGAGCCAGATAGCCGTCGATGATCTAGTGGCAGACTTGAGCGACTTGTCATTGCAGCAAACAGACGAGTAGCAACATTCCCCCAAGATATTTCTGTGGCAAAATTTTTTACCATCCCCGATGAACTATTCTTCGTTCTCTAGCTAACAGTGCAGATGGCTTAAGTGGAGGCTGTGCGTTTGTAAGAATTAGATTGACTGTTTCGCTGTTCTTTTGAATCTCTACCTTTCTTAATAGGTAGTTGTAGTAAAAAAGTTGTTCTTTTTTATCTGCGTGTATTAAACTATAGGTCCTCAAACTTGCACGCTTGGTTTGTGCACGTCCCTGTACTGATTACGCATCCACATAATTTGGGTCCTTCTGGCTATAGACATGCCACTTGTAAGTTGACTTGTGCTGCGAACGGCGTTTAATCGTCCTCCGTGTTTTGCGCTCTCGTCCTCAATCTGCCGCTCCCGGGCGGGCTGTCAGTTTAGAGGAGCTTATGGCAGTTGCCAAAACATCTTCAAACAGTCTACATTTCTACTTAAATATTAAAAAGATGTAGTTGTATAATCCAAAAAAATAAACTAGAAGCCAGAAGTTGTATTTCCCTGCTTCTCTATATTCTTACCAACTAGGTTCTCAGAATTAAACTTCTCAAATAGGGCCTAAGATTCTAAAGCAGATGGTAGCTTTTGAGAATATGAAAAAGTTAGGTTTTTCAACTTCTAAATTTTAGTTTATTTTCTGAATTTTACAACTACAACTTCTCATAATCTAAACGAAAAACTGAGTTGTTTAGGTGAGATTCTAATTCTGGAAGAAGTTATAGCGGCCAGAAACTTCCCTAAATAGGTCCTAGGTGAGTTTCTCTTAGACAAGTTTTGGCACTGTCAGAGACTATATTGATTTTGGTAAAAATTGGCTATCATTTGTACTAAGATTTGGCATTAAACCAAATCAGCCTATCAATTCTATATTTAGGTCTTACCTACAAGATCACATATTTAGACATAATCAAGATCTTCGATAAGAATCCTATAAGGCCGACTCTCTCACACATTGAGATGCTTGATATGATCATTGAGTTGAATTATACCGGGCAACTCTCGCATATATTAAGACACCATCTCTAAATAAAATCTTACAAGACCAACTATCTCACACATTAAGGTATGATCTTACAATTCTACAAAACTGACTCCATGCAAAGCTAGCTAGACACATCGACAGCTGTCGACTAAAGGTTTTAGTGACGCAAGAAAAGAACGACAAATGCACTTGCGTGCTATTGATGACATGTCACCAATGTTTTAAATAGCTGACTAAGGCATTTAGCGGTTAGCTTCTCAAACAGCTATAGCGGGCTAAATGGAGCTATAGCGGCTAAATTGTACATGAAAGCAAATAGCTAGAACCCTTCTCAAACAGCTATAGCGGGAGATAGCGGCAGCTATAGCGGGAGATTTAAAACCCTGCATGTCACTCCCCATGGGTATGTAAATTATCATTTATTTATATACTAAGCTAAACTTTGATCATGCTTGAAAATATCTAATGATCATATAGTTTGAACCTAAATTTGATATAACATAAGTAAATATCATAAAACCCCATGTATTATGGTCCAACTTCATAAACTACGTGGCTTTTGGCACGTGATACATTACCCCCAAGTATTATGGTCCAAAAATTTTACAAAATCATATGGTTAATAATTTGGGTTAATTGGATCATGCCATTATAAAATTGCTAGTTTTGATAAATACTATTACTATTTATCTTTTTTAAGCATACCACTACATCTGTCTCAAAATTGGATACATGCCATCATCTACACTTAATATACGTTTTGAATCATTTTACATGTGTTGTATTTTAGTATGGACCAAAATACCTCCGCTTACTACATCGCAAGCATTGTGGTTCCCCATCCTGGATCAGCTCACGCTAGACCTGCTAGCACAACTCCGGTCTGACTTAACTTCGGCTACACAAGCACATGCCCTTGCTTTCAAAGGCGAGCTAGGACGGGGTCTTGCTATCAAGCCGATTGCCAGAGAGGTGGAGCGACTGGAGATGGCCCAGCCGGCCGAGGAACTCCAAGTTCTAGTCGAAGCAGGAGTTGCCAGAGAGCTTGAGCTAGTTGAGGAATTAGCAGTTGGCTAATAGCACAGCGTGGCGGGATTGGGTCCTTGAGCGCGTTGCCATCACCTCACTTGATGCCACTGACACCTGCCTGTTTCACCGTCGCTCATCATTTCCGTCAGCTTGCCGTTGAGCTTGTCATCGCCGCTGGGGCCACGTGTGGACCCGCCGTAGACCACCGCGACACAACCCTGCCACCGTCGCCGCTTTCTTTGCCGTTAGCGCCGCCGCTGGACCATGTGTCACCGTCAGACCCGCCGTCCCTGACGTTGCACCTTGTCATCGGCGCTCTGCCATACTCGTCGTGGGGTAGCTGTGATTGGGGGATTGTGGGTTTTTGAAGCTAGGTTGCCGGAATTCGGGGTTAAGGTTGAAAGATGATTGGCATGTGTATTTTTGTCCATACATAAATACAGAGCACAAAATATGATTCAAAAACACGTGTTAAGTGTAAAGGATGGTATGTATCCAATTTTGAAAGAATTATAGTGGCATACTTATAAATAGATGAATATTAATGGTATTTTTCAAATCTAGCAAATTGGAGTTGCATTCTAGCTAAAATAAAAAATGCTTAAGTTAAATGGCGAAAGCTTTTTATACAATGGATCAAACAATATGAAATTTCACTTTTAATTAGAGGGAGCTCATAGAGAAAGTATCGTCGTAAACAAGCGTCTTGGTCTATACGAAGTTTTTTTCGTGCTCTAAATTGGGATAGACCGAGTAATAATAAGAAATTTGGGCCAACAAAATAGCAAGTTGGCAACTCGAAAAGAATAAACACCATTGTTTCTGATTTTGCCGTAGCCAAAAATTGCTGGTATGATCGCCACCACACATATCGGACCGTCCACTTTCCATCGGAAGGCCCAGACTTGCCCACGCATGATCCCAAGGAACCTACCCTAGTCCAAGCGGCGACGATGAACTTCACCACGGGACAATCAGTCGCTACTCGCTGGAGCGAACCAAGAGCGCCGACCTGCAAATCTCCAAAACCCCGGTGTACGGTCGCCTCAAACCCCGATCTCCCCCTCCGGCCGCCGTCCGCCGCCGCGGCACTCCGGCCGGCGGGATGAGCCCCTCCGGGCGGCTCCCCGCCCCCTTCGTCTTCCCCCTCGTCCTGCTGCTGCTCGCTCTGGTAAGCTGATCCCCCTCCGAACCTCGATCTCCGGTTAGATCTGGTCATTTCGGCTTCTCGACGGTTTTCGCCCTTCGATTGACTCCCCCTTCGCTGCAGGTGCCGTCACCGGAGGCGGCCGAGTCCACGCCGGGGACGCGGACGCGCAAGATCGGCGGCGCCGCCTCGGTGTTCTCGCTCTTCAACCTCAAGCCCCAGAACAAGTTCTGGTCGGAGTCCGTCATCCGCACGGGTTCGGTTCCGCGCTTCGCAGTGGTTTCGTTGTTTGCATGTTGCATCCCTTTTTTTGGTTGGTGGTATGCTGACGGGTTATGTAATTTTTGGTAGAATTCGATGACTTGGAGGGCTCAACATCGCGGGACTCCAGCAAGAAGGCGCTGCTCAACTTCACTAGAGCTGGTAGATTTTTGCGTTGCTCGTAAATTTATTGGGCTTTTGACCATATTGCAAACAAACCAGATTAGCTTACAATTCTCCCCTAAAGTTGTGGTGTTGCGTGGCCCTTTACTAGCTGCTGCAGTGATAAATTTTCTTTTGGACGTGTTCAAGTTGCAGGACAATGTAAAACTGCTGATTGAGGCTGATATGATTTTGTTTATAGGCTTCTCATTATTGATTCCTGAAGAGTCTGGCATAATTAAATTATGTTAGACTACTATATCATTGCTTTGTTGTACTTTCTGACCTGACCTTGTATGTCATATAATACTTGAGATTACTGTAACTCTTTTGTTTTAGCCATGAGGGTGCTGATGCTATATTTCAAGAACCTCGAGTTCTTTAGTAAGTATAAATGGAATTATTGATGGAAGGTTAAGAGTGGAGAGAGAAGTGGTTGTTCCTAAATAGTCATAATGCAACAGAACTAAGAACTACCTTAGAAAATGATTTTTTTTATTGTGATATATCCGATAATCATTGAGCAGGAATGTATAACCAATGCAACTTCAATATCTGCAAACAAATCATACCGATATCGTTCAGAAATGGCTATGTTAGAGAGGCAATATGCCCGTTATTGAAGCATTACTTTGTGGTAAGGACTGTATTTTTGCATGATTAGTTTAGTCAAGAAACGACTACTTATTTATGTACTCCCTCCGTCCCAAAATAACTGAACCTAGGAGTACATTTGAGACAATTAGTTGCATGCGAAATGTGCATAGTGTTGAAAATTTTATGGTGTACTCATGAATTACATAAGACGACTGTTCACTACTAAATCTGTCATTTTTTTTTGCCATCTGTTGTTCTTAGGTAATATTGCCAACTATATGAGCCTTGCAGAGGTTGATTCTATATATCTTTCAGTACCTGTAAACTTCATCTTTATAGGATTTGATGGAAAAGGAGGTCACGGTAAGCCGACAAACTATCCTTATGCAATACTTATGTCATTCTCTATTTCTTATTTGTTCATACGAAGTACTAACAATATCTTTACTTTATTTAGAGTTTAAACTGGGACCTGAAGAACTGGAACGCTGGTTTACAAAAATAGATCACATATTTGAGCAAACAAGAATACCCCCAGTTGGCGAAGTTCTTACTCCGTTCTACAAGACCAGTGTTAAGAAACTAAAGCAATATGACCTTCCTTTAATCAGCCACATAAATCACAAGTACGTTCCTTTACTTCTCTGACAATTGTTCTTACTTGGCCCAATGTTTTCATCTATTTTGTATAAATATGCCACACATAATTAAATTTTGCCTTTAATTTACCTCACTTTCTGTGTGGTGCAGTTTTTCCGTACATGCAGTACACATGGGTGAAGATGTCATGTCTGTTTTTCAACATGCTATAAAAGTTCTATCCCGTAGAGAAGATATCACAGATTCAAGGTCAGATGCTCTTGAGACACACATATTGCTTCAAACTTAACAATTATTCTCATCCAGCAGTTTGATAAAATTTGGCAAGTGCTTCATCACATAAAAAAACTAAGTGCAAGTGTAGCACAAAACAGATATGGTCTTTGCATTCTTTTCCTATTACTTGGCAATGATGTTTACAAAAAAATAGATGGTTCTGTTTTTAGTTTTCACAGATTTCTGCTTGTTTATTACTATCTGTTGGAATCCATACAAGAGGAACTTGTTACCATGCTTGTAATTGTTTG